CCAATATAAATTAGCAGCGTTAGCAGCATATTTCAGTTTTGACTGGTTTTATGCCTTCCTGGTGGTCACCGTTTTTTTTTTTTGTTTTTTTTTTTTTTTTACATGCAATGGTTGGAGTATGGATCAGTTGTTTGGCTTTAATAAATAAGACAGTGATTTTACAGCACTGTACCTCTTTTTTCTTCCAAAAATGTTTTGCCTGTGTAAGAGGGTACTTGACTAAAAATATATTTTTAAGGGGGTACATCACTGAAAAAAGTTTGAGAACCACTGTCTTAGAGAATAGACGTTAAAATCCTTCTGTAAGTGAATAAATCCCTGAATGGTTCTTAGCATCTAAATCCAGCACAGACTTGTTATCAGTGCATCAACCCTCCAGACCACTCAGGTCTTCTGGCTCCAGACTGCTCTGAAGAACCTGGAGAAGCAGCATTTAGTTCCTATGCTCCACTTATGTGGAACAAATTACCTGAAAATTCAAAACACATTTGTTCAGGGTTGCCTTTCACTGTTCAAGTGCAAATGTTGACTTAAACATCAATAATCTAAATTTGGAGTGCAAATGTTTTTTTTGTTTTGCTTTTATATTTTTTAATCATTTAAAAAAATATCCAACTTGCTTTATTCTGTTTTTATATTTGTTATATGTATGATTCACGTAAATCCATTTGAGTTGTCCTTGTACTAAAATGTGCTATATGAATAAATTTGCCTCGTCTTGTAAAGTGGTTAGGTGCTGTCTGTAGAGGATGAACAAAGGCCAAAGAGATGTTTGCAGATGTTATAGAAGCAGATGGTAATTTTTGTCTGTTTTGTCTGAAGACTAGCAGCTGATGAGATGGTATTGTTCGGACTGAAAATGTAATTTGTAAAAGACTTCATAACGGATGTCATCTTATCGGTGAATTTTCATGCCAAAAATGCAGTATAGTAGTAAATGCACCTAAAAGCAAAATGCCAGACTATTCAATGTTTACCTTTCTGGAGTAGCCGTCCACTGCAGCAATGAGAACAATGTTGTACCTACAAAACAAAGCCCAGTATCACTACTTTCAAACAGGAGCTATTAAATTAATTCAACAAATGTAATGCACCATTCACTGCAATCCACATCATTCACTACTATAAAAAACGTACCTAATCAATTTGTGATTAGTGTCCACATGCCAAAGTGAAAGAGGTCCCTTCACAGAGTAAGCTCTTCGCACAATGCAGCCCAATCCTGTCAGCCTCGAAATAATTCCCAATGAGTCAACTCTATGCATTGATGAAGTCATTGTCCGCCATGGGACGTGGATTCCTAAAGACCTCAGCCTCCCTTTCACCATCCGATATCCAGAAGTTGGCATTTCATTTTTAATGCTTATGGCTGCATTATCGAGCTCTTCATCTGTAATAGTGCTGTACCTCTGTCTGGCAGAGACACCAAATTCCCTCATCCTTCTGTTTGTTGTACTGTTTGAAACGCCAATTAACTTTGCGATGCAGGCCACAGGCAGATTTATTTCCAAAAGTTCAGACAGTTTTTCTGGATCTATATCATACCTGGGACGTCCTGTCACTCCAGCAACAGTTTCAACAGCACTACTGGCAATATCTGTGCTATGCTGCATCACCAGCCTAAAAAACTCCTCAAAGGCCTGTACAATCATAACAGGGATACTAACATGCCTTGACAGTGCTTCAAAGAGGTAAAGCTCTTGTCGACATGTGAATTCTAGAAAGTCTAAGTCCAGAGGTGTTCTTGAGAGTGCCAATTCCAGTTTGGTAATCCTGGAGAAAAGCCTGGAGAAAATTTCATATCTGAGAATGCCCTGTTGACAAGAAAAATTTAAACTTAGAACCTGTTTTAGGGTAAATTTATTGCAAAAAATAAAAAGTACAAATATTTGACATGAAACATCTGAATTATTATCTATTCTTAAAAAAGCTCCTGTTTTAAATTAGACACATATGGCTTTAATTTTTCTTTTTCATGTAAAACTTACTAGAAACTAGAAATAAAGATATGGCTTGATCCAGCTGTGAGGTGGATGCCCACTTAATAAAACATATTTTTTTTTTTTAAAGAGATAAAATTTATTTTTTACTAGTTTTTGAGGATGTCAACTAGGTTACCATCTGTACTGGGATAAGTGGATGGTGGTGGGTCTAAACCGAGTTTCCAAGTTTATCTATGACTTCACAGAGTGTTTAGCATTCTCTTTCAATGGGAACTGGCTAAATACAACTTCAGACCATTACAGTACATTGAATTAGCATACTAACTTAGCACTGTAAATTTGAGTGTCATCTTTGAGTGTGAATATCATTAGTTTAATAAAACCAAGACGTCTGCTATCACTTACATGCAAATCCTCAAATGCTGCTGAAGTATCTCTATCCATTGCTTTTTGCCGAGGGGTGACAAACAATGAGAGAAAGTGAGAGAATAATTTAAACCGTGAAAAGCACTACATCAGTTAGCATCAGTTAGCATGCTTCAGTTGAAAAATTCGAAGCTAGCAAATAGACTTATGTCATTCTACGGCTGTTTATTCGAAGATAGCCCTACTCCATGAGAAATAATTGTGCTTTTTTCCGCTTACCTTTCGTAGTGCAAACGATGGAGAAGGCGCTGCGTCACTGTCCCGCCTCGAGCCGTCGTCTTAACTGACGAGCTGTCAGTCAAATGCTTCCTGACACTACTTCCTGTGAGATCGTGTCTGCAAGGCCCAATCAGGAGGAGGCTTACAGTTGTCTCCGCCCAACCTGTCAAAACCACTTTTCCTCCGCGCGAGGAGAAAATCTGTCCGAGCGAAGAGACGCTTTCAAGCGCGAGGAGAAAATCTGTCCGAGCGCAGAGACGCTTTGAAGCGCGAGGAGAAAATCTGTCCGAGCGCAGAGACGCTTTTAAGCGCGAGGAGAAAATCTGTCCGAGCGCAGAGACGCTTTCAAGAGGGCAGCCGTCTTCGAGCGTGGCCGCTGGATAGAAAATTGTGCGCGCAGGGAGATTCTGCACGCACGTGGGAGGGGCTGGCGCGCGCGGAGAGCTTCTGAGCACGCGTAGACGAGCTGGCGCGCGCGGAGAGAGATTTTCTCCTCTTGAAGCATCAGTTTCTTTCGCGGCGGTAGATAAACCATGCGCAGAAGTAGTCTAACATACATGTGAGTATGTTTATTTTGCTCGCGTTGGTTATGACACAAATGTAACGCCATAGTACTTCTTCACAAAGTTGGCGGCAGTCTTTTCATGCTCGTGGAGAGAGCCTGCGGCGGTGACAATCTTCTGCCTGGAGGGCGACCGGCACGAGGTGGTGGTGGTCACTCTCATCCGTCAGCTCCAGCAGCAGCACGGCCAGGGCCTCCATCTTCACGATGCCAGGAAGGTGCAGATGCCGCTGGCTCATGAGCATGTCCTGCAAAGTAGTGTTAATTTCGTTAACGAAAACTAAACGAAAATATTTTCGTCAACGCAAATTTTTCACCGAACGAAAACTAGATGAGACGAGACGAAAATCCCCACTAATAAACAATAACTGGGAATAAATCAGAAATAATTTTCGTTGACTAATAAAGACGAGACGAAAATGCAGTTCGGTAAATAAAGACTGGACTAAAATCTATGGACATTTTAGTTCACGAACAAAGATGAGACGAAAATTATATATTATTATTTTATGTTTTTTTCAAATCCTGTCTCGTCTCCTCCTCCTCCTCCTCCGCCTCGTCAGCTCCCACACACCCACTTTCAAACCTGGAGCGGGCAGCACAGAGTAGCCTACTCCGGGACTCGGGAGAAAGAGGAGACGTGCTATATGGACACATTTTCGCTTTTAAGTGGAGAACAAACCCAAATGCTTGATTTTAGTGGAAGGGAAGGAATATGGCCACATGATAGCTGGAAAAAACACAACAAA